TTCTCTCTCTCCCTCTCTCTCTCTCTCTCTCTCTCTCTCTCTCTCTCTTTACACCCACACACACACACACACACACACACACAACATGCCACAGGTCTAAACCAGCGGATGAGGCCCTGCATCATCAGGCCTCCCCCCACGCCTTGTTGGAGCCCCCCTCTGCTCCCCTCTCCAGCCATGCAGGTCAGGTCTTTCGTTTCCTCAAACGCACTGGTCTCTACCCAGCTTTAAGGCCTTCACGCTGACATTCCCTGCACCAGAGCAAGTCCTTCCTGATGGTCTCCGTCGGCACCTCGGCCTTGGCCTGGCCACCTACCAGCTTCAACTGGTCATTCAGGCTCTTGCATCTTTTCTTCAAAGAAGCCTCCCCATTGACCCCGACTAGTCTCTCCTCTTCCCCTCTCCCCAAATGACACACACGTGGAGCAAGCTTCTAAGCACTTACCAACGACTGTCTCCCCTCCCCCGCCCTCCCCCGCCCCCAACCCCCTGGTTAAGGTGTGAGCTCAAGGAAGGCGGGGCTGTGTCTGCCTTGTGCAACGTGCTTACTCTGTGCCCAGCTCAGAGCAGGTGGTGAGGAAATCAACAACACTCTCCAAGGATCCAAAGGAGCAGCTGCTAAACTGACTTCCTGACTTCTCCACTCAAATGTGACACAAGGCATCCATCCCATGTCAAGGTGTGCACACGACAGAAAACACACAAGCCACACAAATGGTCATGGACTGTCTTTCGGAGAAAAACGCACTTCTAACCTCACTATGCACAGAAAAGAGGTTCTGGGTACACCCACCAGGTACACTCGCTGTGCTGTGTAACCTCATTACAGTCACCTGCCAGCCCATCTTCCGGGACACATCCGTCCCTAACGCACCCAGAGCACCCAGACACCACAGCCTTCAAAAGGCTGCCCTGCCCATCAGGAGGGACCGGAACACATATCTCCTCGACCCTAAGAGATCCCGGAGCTACTTCTGGCTTCACACACATTGCTATTAGAATGAAAAGCGCCTCGCTCATTTCCCACAATAAAGAGTATAATTCCCCAAAAGCGCCTAGCGCAGTTTCCGGCATACAGAAGGCATTGATTTAAAAACTGGTCGCACAAATGAAAAAACAACAAACAAACCAAAAGCAGCAGCAGCTTGTTCTGAATCATTCACAGCTGAAGAACAGGCATGACCTTTTCAAGATAAGGAGGAAGCAAGCCCACAAATCCGAAAGGGGCGGGCTACGATTTTTGAGCCGTTCTGCTCAGCAGGGCAAGAAAACAGCTGCTAATATTTGCATTGATTTTATGGTAATTTCCGAGCCTGTGAAACAAAAGGAGACGCTCGGTGAGAAAGCCCATCGCCAAGCCTGGTGCAAGCCCTGGCGCTCTGAACCGGCTGCGATGGAGCGCTGGCGCCTCGGTCTGCACGCAGACGACTCAGATGGCGATGGAGTAAAGTGCCTGCCCGGGGACTCTTCTTCTTAAAAAGGGTCCCCCCCCCCGTACCCCGACACACACCCCTGCACCCCGTGCAGTACAAGTAACTTCGAGCATTGATCTGAACCCTCCATCTGCAGGCCAGGCAAGATCAGCTCCTTCGCCAGAATTCAGCGCCTCCCTCCCGATGCCCCCGCGGGCACCGCGCCTCTCGGGTCACCCCCAAATCTCGGGACTTCCTGGGTTTCCTTGGAAGTGCAAGGGCAGCTATTGCCCTCATCCAGCCCCGCTGGGGAACGTGTCCGTACAGCCTGGGGGACACGGTCCGGTGAGGGAAGCGCTTTGAGGAAATACCCCGGGTCCGCACAGGTCTCCGTGGTCCCAGGAGGGGTCGTGACCCCGATAAAATCTGAACCGAGTCTGTCATTAGGCGTCAGGGTGTTTGCTCTTGACCAAATGACAACATCTCTCAGGAGGCCACCTGCTTCTCCCCATTCCAAATATGACACCTCCACGCTGGCCTCTGATGCCTCTCCCAAGCTCCCCGATTTCTCAATAATGTCTTTGATCACATCTGTTCAGTCCTTTCAGGATCATTGATAGGGGCTTGCCTTTGCCTAGGGCAGGGGTGGGCAACCCCTGGTACGTGTGCCAAACATGGCACATCAGTAACTTTTGCTGGCACTCAAAACCCTCTCTTATAATCTTCCATTTACAATTGTTTTTTTAATATCGACTTTTTTATTTTTCAGATAAATTCAGTGTAGGTGCATCTTGGTGGGCGGGGGAGGAAGTGCTGGGTGCTAAAGGAAGCGGGGGGGTGGCAGGGAGCCGCTGGGACAGGTGTGCGACGCGCTCGCTGTGAATGGTGCCCTGGATAGGTCGGGTCCCGCCTCGCGATGTTTGGGGGTTCACGTGGCCCCTGAGGCGGCCCCTGGGTTCTGGTCCCCTGTCGATGTCAAGGCTGTCGGTTGGTCCGACACACTCAAGGGACCCAACAATAGGGCTTACGGAGATGATGGGAGGTTCGCGACAGAATGCTGCGTGGCCAGTGTGAACGCAATGTCGAAATGCTAAGGCCTGGCTACCAGAAATGTGGCCCGTGGGCAGCAGCACTGGCACCACCTGGGAGCTCGTCAGAATTGCAGAATCTCGCCTCTAGCCCCAACCTCCTAAATCGCAATCTGCATGGGGTTCCTAGACCTATGAAAGTGTGAGAACGTTCCGGGCTAAGGTTATCTGAGCAGGGAGAATGTTAACTATAGATGAATGGAAAGAGCAGGTTACGAAACAAAGTGTACAATGGGATCCAAGTTATTTTAGGCACATGTCACAGAAGCATGCACCAAAATGATAAGGTTATTTGTGGCGTTATAGGCTATCTCCTCTCCCCCTTTTTTTTTCTTCTTTTAAAATATATTTTTATTGATTTCAGAGAGGGAGAGAGAGACAGAAACATCAATGATGAGAGAGTCATTGATCAGCTGCCTCCTGCACACTCCCTACTGGGGATGTGCCCACAACCAAGGTACATGCCCTTGACCGGAATGGAACCCAGGACCCTTCAGTCCGCAGACTGATGCTCTATCCATTGAGCCAAACCAGCCAGGGCTCTTTTTTTTTTCTATTTAGTATAAGGTTTATTTGACGTATTTAGCAAATAAAAATATAGAAGAATTCGTTGTTTATCTGAAATTCAAATGGAATCCAGCTCCTGTATTCTAACTGGAAACCCTACTTCAGTGCTTTACAGTTTCTTCCGAATCGAGTATAATGAACATGTACTACTTCTGAAATTAGAGGGAAAATGTAAAACTAAAACATTTTAAACTGAGATGAACCTATGTAACTCGTAACCGTGATTACCATTTCTTCTCTAAGCGGAAGTGTGCCGCGCTTATCCTCAGTAGAAGCTGTTATTGATCCTCTGCAGTAAGAACATTTAAGTGATACATTATTAGTAGCCATAACGCTATGCAGCATTGCAAAATGCATCAGACCTGGTTTGAAGGCGGAGCTCAACTGCTTTGGGGCTGAATAACCTTAAACAGGACTCATAGTCTCTCCTAGCCTAACTATACGCGTTTTATATGGGATAAAAGACCCTGCCTACTGGCAGTGTAGTGAAGATCACACACGGGAACCCTACAGCGCGGTGTAAGTCTTCTGCCAGTGGCTCTCAACCTTCTGGCCCTTTAAATACAGTTCCTCATGTTATGACCCAACCATAAAATTATTTCCGTTGCTACTTCATAACTGTAATGTTGCTACTGTTATGAATCGTAATGTAAATATCTGATATGCAGGATGGTCTTAGGTGACCCCTGTGAAAGGGTAGTTTGACCGCCAAAGGGGTCGCGACCCACAGGTTGAGAACAGCTGGGTCAGTTATAGTAAATAGTAAGCAATAGCGGGAGTCTTGGATTGTGAAATTGTGGGGGCTCCCCACCTACAGCGAGAGTAAATGAGTATTTCCGGAAACTTGTACAGTTTTCACAAGGCCCCAGGAATCTTCCCACCTCCCTCCGTCGGGGTAGTTGACACGTGCACATCTGCCGGGGGAGTTTCCGGGTTAGCTCCGCGCCCCACCTCTCTTCCAAAATTCCAAGTGCGGGGACGCCTCCATCCGCCGGGCTTTAGGACCACTCCAGGTGAGTGGCCGCCGGGCGACTCCCGCTCCAGAGGGCTGTAAATTACCCTCTTGCAACGTCATTGGCTGAGAGGCATTTGAAGGACAGCACTGCCAGCCAATGGGAGGCCTTCATTCTCCGACGACCACGTAGTCAGAGCCACTCCGGCTCGGGGTTTGGGTTTAACCCTTTAGAGGCGAGGCCGCAGTGCGTGGGAAAGTTGCGGGTAGTAGACGTGCCACGTCTGCTGGGAAGGGAGACTCATGAACTTGCCCGAGGCCGTCGCCCTTGAGCCATCAGCTACATCCTTACCTCTATGAGGTCCGGGGTCCTCCCTCTGTGTTTGTAGGAACTTCTGCTCCAGCGACATGAGGCTTCTCTTTTGGAACTCGGTCCTGGCGCTGTTGGTCACTTCCCTGAGTGGGGCGCTGATCCCCGAGCCAGAAGTGAAGGTCGAAGTGCTCCAGAAGCCGTTCATCTGCCATCGCAAGACCAAGGGGGGCGACTTGATGTTGGTCCACTACGAAGGCTACTTAGAAAAGGATGGCTCTTTATTTCACTCCACGTAAGTCATTCGACCCCGCAGGTAAAGCCATTGAGAACCCGCCCACCTACCCCAGCCCCTGGGCAGGAAAGCTAGCGTGTACCAAGTTTTACCATATTTTTTAAAAAACTGAAATGTTTCATTTCTTCCTTGAGGGAAAGAAAATTGTTTAAAGCCAATTTTATGTAAGGAGATCTTTGCAGGTCTTGTTGGAAACATGTTGTCAAGATAAAGAAGGACCACTTATTATTATAAAATAATTTTTATGATTACAAAAATTGGACCTAGAGTCTTCCATGTCTCAGAACCAAAAACCTAGTGGACTACGGTGATAGTCATGGGCCACTTTTCAGCGGTTTGCTACTAACGCCTGGTAACTGCCGAGGGCCCTGTGGTCGTGCAGCCTCCGTGTAAATGGCCAGGAACTGCCTGCCCTGAGAATGATGGAGAAGTACCATAAATGGACCCGTTTATAACGCATGTTTGCCATTTCTAGAACCATAGCCTATGTGGTAAATAAATAGAGGCTGAAATCCCTTTGCCGTGACAAGAAGTGTGCCTGAACTACAGTCTGCTGGGTGGTAGATTCTTTTTTCCTTTTTTTCTCTACCCTTCCCAGATTTTCTACAATTGGAACAAAAGTTCCTTTGATCATGGGAGAAATGGAGGAAAAGAGGAAGTAATAGCCTTTATCTAGACTTAAGGATCATGGTACCCTTGAAATCTAGTAGGGTGACTTCCCTTCTCACCTACAAGATACACTTGCCTAGAAGAACACTTTCCTTATTGTGCCAAAGGGAGCTAACAGGGACACAGACGCTACTCAGCCTTCAATCCCTCCAGTAGCTCCACAGCTTGGTTTTCTTGGGCTGGCCTTCCTTTAGCTCATCAGCCAGGAGATCTTGACCATTCTCTTCTTCCTCCAGGCTTCCCTGCACACGCCACAGTAGACCCCTGCGGAGAGAGGTGGGCCAGGGTCTGAACCGGGATAAAGGGTGGGGGAGGTGGAAGAGCAGCCTTTTCCAGCTATCAGGGCCCTCAGCAGGCTGTACATAAGGAAAGTTTGTAGGCAGGTGAGAAGATGCTATACTTCCTGCCCCTCAGTGTCTGTGTGGGTATGGACCCATAAATTCTCCCTAGCCCTTCTCCTCCTCCCCAAACCCACCCACTTTTAACTATTCTTTCCCCTCTTCTGCACCTGGGACAGCATCACTCTGTGGTTAAGACCTTGAACTTTGTAGTTAAGTCAGATACTGGCACACTTAACTGCAGTTTCCTCATCTGTACCACAGGGGAAAATGGTCCTTACCCTGTATGATCATTGTTAGAATTAAAAGAAGAAGAGTTTTGGGGTAATGCCTGGTATGTGGTAAGTGTTAAAATAATTGTTGATATTTTTAAGCCCTGGCCAGGTAGCTCAGTTGGTTAGAGCATCTTCCTGATACACCGAGGCTGAGGGTTAGATCCCCGGTCAGGGCACATACAACAAGCAACCAATGAATTCATAAATAAGCGGAACAACAAATTTTGCTGTCTCTCTTTCTCTCTCAAAAAAACAAAAACAAAACAAATAAAATAGTAACACATTTTAAAAATAATAATTGTTTATTGTTTTTATTATTATGCCATCTGTACTTCCCTAGCTAAGTCAACAGTGTGAAATTTGCATCAAGAAATTTGGGCAGAAAAAATAAAGAAATTTGGACAGTGAATTGAATTATATTATAAAGTTGACGAGTGTGTGTGTGTGTGTGTGTGTGTGGCTGTTTTCATTAATTTCAAATTTAATCACTATGGGTGGGGAAAATGTACTACAGCAATAACAAAGTTACTAAAATGTTCTAATGCATTTTCTTTCTATTATAGCCACAAACATAACAATGGTCAGCCCATTTGGTTTACCCTGGGCATCCTGGAGGCTCTCAAAGGTTGGGACCAGGGCTTGAAGGGAATGTGTGTGGGAGAGAAGAGAAAGCTCGTCATTCCTCCTGCCCTGGGCTATGGGAAAGAAGGAAAAGGTAATAACAATTCTACATTTTTCTATAGCATAGAGTTCTTTCTAAATTAGGAGACAGAAGTTAGTGTAAATTCTATGTTTTTTTCCCCTCTAGCAGTAAACAAAAAATCTGTATTTCTTTGGGAAATATAATTATGTCTTGATTATTATTTGAAATGGCCAATTAAAGCCATAATATCTAATGGACAACTGAGGTAACAATGAAAAAAGGTTCTGGAACCTTCAACTCCATTATTCACATTGTTCACAATCTGATGGCTTCTTTTGTGTATGTGTGTGTGGTACAGAATTCATAACATAATATTTACCATTTCACCATTTTAATGACATTCAGTGGCATTAAGTACATTCACGTTGTGGTGCAAATATCACCGCTGTCCGTCTCCAGAACTTTCTCATCCTCCCCAACTGAAACTCGCCAATTTATTTTAACAATGCAAAAGGACAGATCACTCAACATCCATGGGTTGATGAGTTGGACCTTTAAAAGATAAGTTTTTAAGGCATTACATGCAATACTAGATGTGGGCAGTATGTGATACTCAACTGAAGTTTCCCATAACAAAACTTATACATTTTTTAATGATTTGACTTAGAAAACTAAAGGAGTGACATGAAATGAGTTTAGTAGAACAGAAACAAGTGTGCTCGCTGGCCCAGGGCAGACTCCCACACCTGTGGTTTGAGTGGGAACCTGTGTGGCTTTCTAAAGGCTGCGTACAGGAGGCCAGAAGATGTTTCAAGCATAGGATGTGCACGTAGCCGATAATTCCTTTATTGCAATCTAACCTAAGGGAATAAACAGGAATCAGAGGAAAGATTTGTGAACAGCGATGTCCATTCCTGTGTTGTTTCTAATGGCAAAAAATATTGGAACCAACTTAAGCATATAATGGGAAGGGTTTAGTGAAATAAAATATGGCCCAGTTACTTAAAAATGGCATTTCAAAGCTTAAAAAAAATATCCAAAATGTGTATGATTTCATTACATATGAAAGTAGAAAATAAAGCTATAGAATATGTTATACTATGATAGTAAGTATTAGAAAAAATTTTATACACATACAATGTGAATCACAAAGAAATGAAAAGAATGTTAACAATGGGGCTGAGAATTATTTGTATTTCTGGTTCTACCTCTTCCAAATCCTCTGCAATGGGCACATATTACTTACATAACGAAGAAAAAAAAATTAAGTAGTCATTAGAATAAAATGAAGAACCACTTCGAGGTAATAGGAATATAGACTTCGCAATATCCTTAGGTCTAAACCATTTACAAAGTGGGAACGCTAGTCCCAGTTTCCTGGGAAGAACATAGGGGTCATACGTGAAGCATTGTATATTCTAAAATGGAACTTGAACTTGCCGTATAAATCTTATGCATAGAATGGGATGTACTAACAAATTAATTCCTTGTTTTAATAATCCTCTTAAGATAAGAAAATCAAGTATCTAGAAAATGTTTCTCTGATGTTCAAATGTATTCTTTCACCTTCCTGTATCTTTATCTTCTCATCTTTAATATTTATACATATAGCATTAGTCCATTACTCTTTTGCCACCCTGCATTTAACTCATTTTCACTTTATAACAAGTAGAGATCTAAATAGGAGTCATTTCCTTCTGACGAGCTCCATGAAACTATCTCTGTGAATATGTACTAACGCTAGTTCTGTAGTCCTGTAGCACCTCGTTTGCATGCGGCCTTCCGGTTTTCCCGACGACCTGGTGCATGCCCCTTCTCTGTCTAGATCTGAAAGGAAAGGCTTCAGCACGCAGCGTGAGTTTCGTTCCTTCAGCACTTACAAATGCCCTTTCGTGGAAATATGTGGGATGGGGAGACTAAGAAGTATTTGTAGTGTTTACCTAGACCTGTTTGTTAAATATAGTTATTAGGAAACAGTTGAGCAAATTGTCTGTACTTCCCAGAAAAAATTTTTTTTTAAAGTCCCTGGGACTTTAACAATGCTCTTCTCACTTTTAAAGCTTTTCATCTCCCTTATCAGCAATGTGTTTTAATTTATCCCCTCTCCTGAAATTTCTTCCATATATGTGCAATGTCCTAACTTACTGAAATTGCTAATCCTTTCTGAATTGTTCTTTTAAATTTTTATTTTAGAGAGAAAGAGGAAGGGAGAGGGATAGAGAGAAACATTGATGAGAGAGAATGCTGCCTCCTGCATGCCTCTCACTACAGATTGGGGAGAGTGAGCCCCCAACCCAGCCATGTGCCCTGACTGGGAATTGAACCTGTGATCTCTTGGTTCATGGGTCAACACCCAACCACTGGGCCACACTGGCCAGGCTTGAATTGTTTTTAAAGCTTGTAAGAGAATTATATCTTACTAACATATATTGAGAGCTTACCATTTATCAAGCAAAATGTTAAGTATTTTGCATGGACTTATCTTCCTTTATCTCCCCAATAGACTCTGGAGGTGGGCATTATTGTCATTTGTGTTTTACAGATGGGGAAACTGAGGCTTAGAGAGAGGCAGAAGTAAGCTGCAAACCTAGATTGTATGATGCCAGAGCTCACCCGATTATAATCCACCTCCAGTGGCAGAAATGGCAGTGTGATATATATTTCTAGGTCAGGACTTTCTGACTCAAGTTAGTAAATCACTTGTGCTATAATTAACTCTGAAATATCAAAAGCACTTTAAGTCATTTTTGACTTATAATATGTAATACCTTAATTACATTTGAAATTTTAATACCCCAGGCCAGTGGTCGGCAAACTGCGGCTCATGAGCCACATGTGGCTCACGAGCCGCAGTTTGCCGACCACTGCCCCAGGCCATTAGGCACGTGTGTGTGTGTGCATGTGTGTGTACATAAAACAATTTTTAATTGCAAACCAAAATCAGACTGCTTTTGATCTATTAATTTGGATTATTTCTTCTTTATTCTATTTGTTTGAGTCAAGTATGATTATAATGGAAATTAATATGTGATAATCTTAGGAGGCTCTTCATTTAATTCAATTAAAATAATATTTTGTCCAGTACCGTAAGTTTTCTATCATCAAAATTTGGGATCTTTTAAATACAACTGAACCCCTCCCCCCTCCTCATTTAGGTAAAATACCCCCAGAGAGCACACTGATATTTAACATCGACCTTCTGGAGATTCGAAATGGACCAAGATCCCATGAATCATTCCAAGAAATGGATCTTAATGACGACTGGAAACTCTCTAAAGATGAGGTGACCATTCCCTCCTCCTACTCTCTCGTTCTTCCCTTCTTTCAACTCACTTTTTTATGAATATGTTTTTAAAGAAAATTTATTTTTAATTTGGGTAAAGTGTTATTTATAAAACTTCTTAAAGTGCCTATGCTTTGAAAATGGGCTTTTTCATAGGAAATCATTGTTCTGGAAAGAGATATTGAGACTTTTAAAACATTTATTCTTTTGCTTTTTTCTCCCTCTCCCCAATGTAAATAAGGTTGTCTATTTTGTCTTGACCTAAGTTTCTGAAAGATCCATTTTGCCAAGACAATTCCCATTTCGGAGTTACTGTATAAGAAACATGGCTATCCTGAGAAATAGTGGCCATAAGGCAGTTGTTGTATATCATTAAATGAGCTACCAGTCCAGTCTGTGATACTGATTGACTCAATGCAGGTTATCTTACAAGTAAGAAGTATTAACGAGACCATTGTTTTGTAGGTTAAAGTGTATTTGAAGAAGGAGTTTGAAAAGCACGGTGCAGTGGTGAATGAAAGTCATCATGATGTTTTGGTGGAGGATATTTTTGATAAAGAAGATGAAGACAAGGATGGATTTATATCTGCCAGAGAATTTACATATAAACATGACGAGTTATAGAGATACATCTGCCCCTTTTATATAGCAGCCATCTTTAAAGGGCGGGCAACCGTCTTTAAAGAAAGTCTTATTTTTTAACATTGTTTTATTCCGTTCTTGCTTTGTTTGTTTTTTTAATTTTTTATATATTTTTTTCTGAATGTTATTTAAAGAACCCCTTAGGGTTTCTAAGTACCCATTTCTTTCTGGTGAGTTACTGGGAAGAAAAAATGTTTTTATCTTTGAATAAGGAGAATTCTGGACCATTTTCTCCTTTCATCTATGAAGTCTTATAACTTACAACTTTGTAACTTTAAAATATTACAATGGGGACCTTGCCCAACAGAAGAGCAAGTATAGCACAAATCCGCACCCTCTGTTTCTGCTTGCCCCCATTTTCACTAAGTTAGACACTGACATTTACAAGCCTTTTGCAATAACCCAAAGCTTACTATTTTCATGTTATAATGGAAGTGTTATCTGCCTTTGAGTCTCTGCTTGAAGCAACGGGAAGATGGTTGTTGAACTTTACTTGTTAACAGTTACTGCTTTACTGAGAAGATGTGCAATGCTGAAGTGATGGACAAGTTAATGACTTCTAAGTGTGTACATTGAATATTCTGCCCAGAACTTAAGCTATGGTATAAGGCTTGGTTCCTGATTGCTACTGACTTATCATGATAAGTAGAACAAATTATTTATGTTTGTTGCTTCCTAATAAAATGTGTCAAAATATTGTAGATGAGGTAGAGAGTTGTATTTAGTCTGTGCGTACTTTCTAAGGCTAACCAATTATCCTTTCTGGTTTTTAAAGTAATAGTCTATAACTAGTGTATTATACTACAGTAACATTATGTCATGATTTGTTAACCAATCACAATTTTCCCATTTCTGCCCCATCAGAAAATAAGGCAGACCCACAGTAGCTGCTATTGAATAAGGTTTATCCTGGGTCAAAAGTTTGATAATTTTATTATGTTCTCTTCAATTGGCTTTTATCCTCAATACTTTAAAAGGTGTCCAAATCCCCATTTACTAAGAATAGTCTTTAGCCCTGGCCCGTGTGGCTCAGTTGGTTGGGTGTCATCGTATGCACCAAGAGGTCACTGGTTTGATTCCCCATCAGGGCACATGCTTGAGTTGTGGGCTCAATCCCCAGTAGGGGGCAAGCAGGAGGCAGCCCATTGATGTTTTTCATTGATCAATGTCTCACTCTCCCCCTTCCTATCTCTCTAAAAAAAATCAATAAAAAAGTCTTATCATTTACAAAGTGATCTCAAATGTATCACTGACCTTAACTCTCATGGATCTGAAGTCCATGAAAAATGCTGGTGGATTTTACCTATTTTATAGGTGAGGAAATTGTCATTCAGTGAGATTGTTGTGACTCTGGTTAAAAGCTAACTTACTGAACCAGACTTCAGTCCTCAAGTTCATTATCTTTTTACTGCCCTGTATATTGAAATTTTCTTTGCATTTAATGGGTCTAATTTTCTCTTCAGTGTGGGTCCTTATCCTTTGAAGATACTTTATGGCTATTTCTGGTGCCATAGAATTCTCCCCATGATCCAGAAATGGCTCTGGTTTCTTTGAAAAATCTTGGGGTCAGCCATGAATTGCCTCAAAGACCCTGTGTGGTGTGAGGTTCTCCATGTGTATCTTAGTCCTTTCATTCCTGTGGAGCTCTAGATTTTTTGTTTTTTTTTTCTTTAAACAATTATGAACAACTGTTACATCAGATATAGACTACTTTCACTGATTCTGTATTGACGTCTTCCTCACTAACACCTTTCTCTGGCGAAATCAGCTATAGCTAGAAAACTTTTTTAAGTTCCCTGTCCTTTTCCTCAACCTGGAGGAGTTCGAAGTCACAGTACAGACAGCCTCATGCGGCATGATGAGGGAGAAGGAAGTGAGTAGCTACTGACGCTGTCCACGGCAGAGCAAGATAAGTAAAAAGGATTCTGACTATTCAGGCAGCATATTCCTTCATCTCGTGTGACTTTGTATCAATTCCCATCTTAACGTTTGGACACAAATATGAAATGAAAAGTCACTAGGTTCGGGTTGTCTTTAAGTTAACTGCCTTTTTTGGTTTAGTTATCTCTTTGCATCTTTCCATTTGTGGGAATAATCAGACACCAACTGTGGCTTCACTTGTGTACCACTGAACTCATTAATCCTGCTAGCTGTGTCCTATTTAAATTCGTAGGACTGTGTTATGGTATTCTTTTCAAAAATAAAGATTACTTGGAAAAGAATTGGTTTTCTGAAAAATTCTTCACCAACTTCTTCAGCAGTTTTATTGATTTTCTTAACTGTTCTTCCTAGGTTTTATATAAAAACCAGGTGAGGAAGATGGACAGGTAGTTTGGGGAGAGGTATAAAGACACTTTGAATGTGTCTGATTACTCTGTTTAGATATAGTTGTAAGGAAAGCTGTGGTTTGGTTCAATTGTTTTGAAATAAATAGGCATTACACCTTGAGCATTGAAAGCAATAGTTAATATCGAACATTGGGTACTGGAGAAAGTGTATGTGGGGTTTTTTTTGTTTAATGGTGGTAGTTATCACTGTTGTTTTGTGGGTTGTTGTTTTTGTTGTTATTAATCCTCACCTGAGGATTAATTTTAATCTTTTTTAAAAAATATTTTTTTTATCGATTTCAGAGAGGAAGAGAGAGGGAGAGAGAGATAGAAACATCAATGATGAGAGAGCATCATTGATTGGCTGCCTCCTGCATGCCCCCCATTGGGGAGCAAGCCTGCAACCGGGCATGTGCCCCTGACCGGAATCAAACCTGGGACCCTTCAGTCTGCAGGCTGATGCTCTATCCACCTTGCCATGCCAGCTAGGGCTAATTTTAATCTTAATTAAAATTAAAAGATTAATTTTTCCATTGATCTTTTAGAGAGAGTAGAAGAGAGTGGGAAAGACAGAGAAAAACATATTGATGGTTGTCTCCTGCACATGCCCTGACCAGGGCCCAGGCCAGGGAGGAGCCTGCAACCAAGGTACATACCCTTGACTGGAATCAAACCCGGGGCCTTTTGGTCCCCAGGCTGACGCTCTAGCCACTGAACCAAACCGGTAGAGCTATCACTATTGCTTTGGTTTGGAATTTTATTGTGTGTCATTGTGTGTTATGATTAATGCCTGAGTAAATTAGTGCTATAAATTACCGTATGTAATTAAATGAAGTGCTGAGGTGCTGTAAAAATAACAAGGAAATGATTTCTGGATGAGATGGGAGCCAAGCTATTTGAAACTTTCTTTGTGGAAATGAATTTGTATTTCTCATCGTATTCATGATACAGGATATTGCTTACCTCTGTTCTGCTACTTGGATATCAGCATGCTCTCTCCTCACTGCATTGAGTGCATGGGTGATTTCTCAGAGTTGTTTAGAAACTACAAAAAGAGAAAAGAGAACTTGGTGCAATGTTATGGAAAAAAAATACATTTTCCCACCTTTTTCTTTAAAAAGTGAAGTATCATTGTATTAATAACCCTACTAGATGAGAGAAAAGAGCTTTGACTTCCCACAAATTATTCTTCTGTGTTATTTTTTTTCAGGATTACCTATCACCCACTTCTTTAGTAGAATATACAGTCAAGAGATTTTGGAAAAAATAAAATTGTTATCTTTAAAATATAGAGATGCATATACATGTATGCATGTGCATATTTGTGTGTGTATACATAGTGTACGATATGCCACATAGAAACCATATACTGCACACGCCTAAAGTTTTCTACTGAATCAGTTATTGAAATACTCTATCTAGTACATGGTTTCCCCTCTGAAATTTTGTCTTTCAATTTAGCATGAAGTTATAATTTAGGTTGAATTTTCTAGTGGTTCTCTAGGTAAAACCAACAGTAATCTTTTTCACCACTTCAGCTTGAGGTTTATCAAAGGGACGACGTGGCTGGCTTTGACACAGTCCGTAGGTGATGGCTGAGGAACAGGCAAGAAGCACTTGGAGGTTCCTGGAGGTCCCCAGGCCTCTGTCTGTGGGCTCCTGCGTTTGCAGGCTCTTTGTGTCCCTGGGCTGCTGGGAAGTCTCTGGGATGCCCTGACTTCAGTGAGGACAGGGCAGCCAATGACCTTCAGAGCCCACCCGAGGGCCTGTGCGCTAGACGAGTCAGTTTTGTTTTATGACCTAAAGAGAAATGGCATGAGATGTTTACTGAGGCTTTCCTAAAAAAAAAAAAAAAAAATCTGGAGTAAAGCAAATGCTGTCCCCTGGTCTCTAGTAACAGCTGACGTATATCCCACTTGGGAATTTCTGGGCATTTACAAGTCACGTCATTAACTTACTGGTAAAATCCCACACTGCGGCAGCTCAAGATGATGTCCTCTTTAGTAAATAGATGCAGGAAAAACAATCCCACACACAATGTAAAGTGAGGTAGTGAGGGACAGTTTTCATTAATCTAAAGAATGAAGAAAGGGTCGGGGGCCCACTGGGGCTTAATTCCAATTTCTTACAGCATTTCCTCATTCATTTGTTGCAGTCACTAGTGGACTGCATTTTATGTTAATATAACTCCAAGTCTATTCTTTCTTTTTCTTTTTTTTTAGCCTCTGGTTAGAAACTGGGAACATTATGACATTCAGCCACATGTGACATTCAGCCACATCTTTCTATAGTGCTCACACCCGCTGGTATTCTGTTGGAGACATTCTAGACTTTTAAAAAGTGGTTCTTAAATTTCTAGCTAAGTTTAATTAAATGGGTAATTATACTTGGGTAGAGAAACCATGAAGAGTAGTACAAATACAGGGGATTTGCTTTAAAAGAAGAGACAGCACTTGTGGAAAAAGAGGGAAGAACCTAAAAGGCTCTTGCAATGGAATCCCCTTTTAATTACCAAATCCCCACAGCATAATAGTTCTAGGCTTTCTCTGGAGTCAGAAATTTCATACTTTCTACCAATAGATGGAATCATTGTTTAGTCACTTATAGAAAGTCCATCTTTATTTAATTCCTAGAGCAATTTAGACAGGCTTTTGTTTCCTTCTTTCAAGAAGTGAAAAATAGCCTGGGCCAGTGTGGCTTAGTTGGTTGGATGTCTACTGTTGCACCAGGAGGTTTCTGGCTTGATCCCCGGTAGGGGACATGCAGAAGGCAGCTGATCTGTGTCTCCCTCTCACATAGATGTTTCTCCCTCCCTCTCCCTTCTGCTCTCTCTAAAAATCAATAAATTATTCTTTAAAAAAGGATCATATTATTTTAAAAAAGAATTGGAGAATAACTAATAGTAACTTCTGTTTAAAGTGATATGTTATCTCAAGTGAGCAATGGTATTAAAATTGCAGATATAAGAGGCTCAGCTTTGTCAATTCCAGATAAGGTTTCATCCATTAAAACGATCCTCAGGCCTGGCTGGCATAGCTCAATGGTTGAGTGTCAACCTATGAACCAGGGGGTGATGATTCAATTCTCGGTCAGGGCACATGCCCAGTGTGGGATGTGTAGGAGGCAGCCAATCAATGATTCTCTCTTATTATTGATGTTTCTATCTCTCTCTCCCTTCTTCTCTGAAATCAACAAAGCTACATAAAAAAAACCCACACTGTACATAGCATAAGGTGGACCATTCCATACAGGTAAACTAGGAAAAAAAAATTCCCAAAGGTCATCATAGAATCCTCTGGCTTGTTCTTTGATAGTCACAAGATGAACAACCAGCAATTCCCCTTTAAATGATCTGTACAGTTGTCTGGAGCCAC